TGAACCAGCCCTAGAAAAGTTACTTTGTTACATTATTTTTTAGAGCCTTGATATGCTACTATAGATTGTGTCTCTTTGAGAGAGTGAACATGTAGTGTTTTTCAAACTTCATTTTGAAATTCTTCCCTCTTCCCCCATTTCTTTTTTTAAAAATAATTATCTATTGTTTATTCATTTATTTTATATTTGACCAGTGACACACACACACACACACACACACACACACACACAACACACACACAGATCGGGCAGGGGGTGGGGGGGAAGCAAGCCACTAGGTCCAGGATTTGAACTGCAGTCAGCTATGTGGGAGTGTCCAGTGCCTTATTACCATGCCACCTGTTGGTCCCCCTGTTTCTTCCATTTCATCTTGAGGGACCAGTGTCCCTGTTTTTACATCTTTGGTATGTCCAGGTGATATCTTCTTTGCATTGAAAGTGTAATGAACCATACTTGAGGTTCAAAATGAAAATCTTAATCATGGTTAAGCTACAAGGTTTGCAGAGATGGTAGCTGAACCCATTGAAATGGATGAAATTGCTCACAAAAATAATACAAAGTAGGAAAAAATTTGTCCACCGAAATATGGAGTGAGAAAAGCCTTGAATCAGATAGTTAATTTCAAAGTTGGGAAGAAGAGCAACTGGTAAGTAAATGGACAGATTTTGAATAGATAAGTTTGGAAAGTAAAGGAGAACAGTGAAAAGATAGTGTTTCAGAGTTAAAGTAGTGTGAGTGTACTGCATCTGGCAGGTAGGAGGTAGGTCACTTTTGCCAATGGTCAATGTGGTTTTAGTAGACCAGTGACAAAAACCACATTTCAAGATGTTAAAGGAGTGAGTGGTGATAGGAAAATGGGCAGCAAAAGCAAGCTGAGAAAAATGAGATACGAAAGAAAGATTTCTGGAACAAGCTTGACTAGGAAATTAGGTAGTAAGCAAATTATTTACATATAAGTTTGTTTATTTTAAAGAATATGAAAGATTGAGTGAGCTGATGTGGTAGTTGAGGTGGCTGGATCCTCCATGGCCAACTGTGTGGTTTGAATCCTGGACCTGGCGGTGTGCAAAACATAGTGGGTGTGTGTGCATGCCCAAAATCCCAAGAGGAGAATGGAGAAGGGATTGCATTGTGAAAGAATCTTTGGGGGATGCTTTCTCACTTAATCTCTCTCTTGTGCATGTGCCCTATAGTGAATTAAAAAGACTTAAATAGTTGATAGTAGTGGAAAAGTGATTAGTGCAAAGGGAAAGATCAAACATATCAGGTCAGAGATAATTGATGGGGTGAAGTTCCAGAAATGGGGAAGAATGGAGACAGAAAACAGTTTGAAACATGGGGAAAGGAGGGAAAATGGATCCAGATCCAGATATATTTTGGGAAGGTAAGGAAATTGTTGCCAGGGCTTTTAAGTGAACTAGGCAAGATAACATTTTTTGAGAGGTAAGGACTTTTAAATGGCATCTGGAGCTCAAAATAGAATAGGAGGTCAATTAGGATTGAATACTAGAACTAGTCTTAGTTAAACAAACATGATTTCATAATAGCTGCACTTGCTACAACTATGTGACTTTCTTCCATAGTTCTTAGTAGTGTAAGTGCAAGATTTGGAAAAATGAATTTAGTTTTACTTAAAGAATGTGACAAGATGTGAAGGCAAAGAATGGGTTCAGTGAGAGTGAGGAAATTGAGGAGTCAAAAGACAGTCTATTGTGGAAAGAGGTTCACATTTGAGAGGTAAAACACTTTTCCTTAAACCCATTCATGAATGTATATTGCTGAAATGGGGATGTATAGAATGTTGTTGGGATAAATTAAGATGAGATCTTTTTTTTTTTTTTTTTGAGTTGATTCATTGAGGTTTTAGTACTTAAGAATGGTAGTATATTTTAATTATAGAGAGGAAAACTATAACCCAACTATTAAGAGTATTCTAGGAATGTTGGAGGAGGTCTTGGCAATGACAAATATGGGCCAGGGACTATATCCAAGCTATTAGAATTTCAATACAGGCATTTTTGCAATAATGTTAGAATATTAATTAAAAGTGATTGTGATGATGGCAAGGAGATTGTTAATCTCTGTTCCTGTTTTGTTTTTGTTTTTTAATTGCCAGATACAGAGAGAAAGCACACTCCTCCACCCCCAGCACTCCCCTCAGCAACGCCCCTCCCCACAGGGACATAGTCATGCCATAATCCTAATCCTTTTTCCTCCATTTCTCCATCCTGCTAAGATTTTGAGCACTCATGCATACGTGCTGGTGTGCTTTTCAAGCCACTGGGACTGGGATTCGAGCTGTGATCAGCGATGTGGGATCGGACTCCCTTAGCCTACAGACTGGTCCTTGTTTTGCCTTTGATATTTAAATATATGTTAGATTTCAGGTTAGTTTTTGACTATGGTGTGAGGTAGGGAAGTAAATTTTAAAAATTTCCTGTAAGGTATGTGTACTTCCAGAGAGAGAGAGAGAAAAAGTGGGAAAGCATCCTCTCCACACACAGGGGGGTGGCCACACCGCAGTCCCTTCTTCATCCTCCTTCAGGATTTTGGGCCTGCACACATGTACACCTGGCTTGTTTCCAAGCCACCAGGTCTGGGACTTGAACTGTGAACTGTGCAGTTGACCAAGTAGGATCGACCTGCCCTAACCACCATGTCACTAGCAGCCACACATCTTTTTAAGAAGTTTATCATTGAACTTGTGATAGAGAGTGCATGCACGTGTGTGTGTTTGTAAGAGGGAGAGAGAGAAAGAGAGAAGCTCTGCCAAAAGGGTCTTGTCTTGCTGCAATCTCCTTTGTCTTCCAGTTCAGGATCCTGGGCATACATGCACAGGCTAGCATGCCCTCAGTCCATCCTGGGGGTCCGAATCTGCAACTGACCACGTGACTTCCAGCACTGCACTTCAGCTCTCCATTAACTGCACAACTTGTTGGGACCACATGGCTTATTTTTTATTCTCCATGTAGTTATCAAATTGTTTTAGCATTGTTTATTGAAACCTCCCTCCCTCACTGAATAGCAGTGGTGTGTTTGTAGTAAGTAGGTGAATACATATGTATCTCTAACATTTATTTTTATTATGAAATCTGTGATATGTTCTATTAAATTATAAATTCTGGAAAAGCTTGAACCGTGTCTATGCTAACTGTCTTGCACAATACTAGGCACATGATAGACATCCAATAAATATCTGCTGATTTAATGAAATAATTCATGAGACTAAAATCCATAGTATGAAAAATGTTGGTCAATAAAGAGTTTAACCATTATCCATTGAACTGTATGCTTAAATATGAAGAAGAATTGAAAGTGTTTTTGCAGAATATTTTCAACTTCTAAATCCCCCTCCCTCTATTATAAGAATTTGTCTGATCAGATGGTTCTACTGCTGGGTGACAGGACTACCTTTTCTAGGGAACTTCTGTTCTTTTTCTTTTGTTTTTGTCATAGTGTGTGTGCACTTAGCAGAGAGAGAAGGAAAGTGAAAAATCATCTTCCAGAAGGATGGCTATGCTGCAATCCCTTCTCCAAGTTCCTTGAGATTCTGGGCATAGCTGCACATGTACCTAGAATGATTTTCTTTTTCTTTTCTTTTTTTTTTTTGAGAGGTTTTTGCTATAGCACGCATGCGCTCACCAGAAAGAGAGAGAGACAGAGAGACAGCGATAAATCACTCCTCAGGGGGGATTGCCACGCCGCAGTCCCTTCTCCTTCATTCTCCTCTCGGGATCCGGGGCACACACGCACACGTGCCTGGTGTGAGTTTAAGCTACTGGGTCCTGGACTCAAACCGCGGTCAGCTACATGGGAGTCCAGCGACATAGCCATTACACCAACTGCTGGTCCCTTCTTTTAATTTTTTTAAAGAATTATTTTACTTAACTTTATTTATTTATTTTAATTTGACTAGAGTGGGTGGAGAGAGAGAGAAAGAGAAAGCTGCTAAGTCTGGGGCTTAAACTGCAGTTGGCCATGTGGGAGTCCAGCACTTAACAACCACACTACCTGCCGGCTCCTCCAGCATGATTTGGAAGCCAATAAGTTGTTGGGAAATTGAATGGTAAAGTTGCTCGTGTGGGATCCAGTGCCTTAACTACCATGCCAACTGCTGGCCCATTGAATTTTTTGTTCTTCTTTCCAACTTTTTCTTTTTCTCTTCCTATTGTCGATCTTCTTAATTTGCTATTACATTATTAACAAATACCTGAGACTAGGTAATTTATAAAGAAGTAGAGGTTTACTAAACTCATGGTTTGGAGGTTCAGGATCCAGGGGCCAGCTTCCAGTGAAGCTATAACATAGAGGATGGCAAGGTCTTGAGCAGAGTGATTGTCTATAAGTTTCTGCCATTTCTGATCTCCTTTTCCTTCTATGGGAAATTCAATTATAGGAGCCCTACTCTGGGATACCATGAAGAGATTAGCCAATGTATATACTGGTTACTGTAGACATTCTGTAAAAATCTGCTATTCTGTAATTATTATTCTTTTTTAAAAATTAATTAGGCCGGCAGGTCGCATCGTGGTTAAGGTGCTGCAATCCCACATGACTTGCTGCAGTTCAAGTCTGGACCTGGAGAATTGCTTTCTCACTTACCTACCCTCTCTCTCTCTGGTCAAATTAAAAAAAAAATATTCAAAAATTTTATTTAGTTATATTTATTATTATTATGATTTAATTTGTTGTAGGGCACATATGCTCATCAGAGAGAGACAGAGAGGGAGAGAAAGACACCAGGCTGAGGACTCGAATTGTGGTCGGCCATGTGGGAGTTCAGTGCCTTCCAGCGCTTTAACCACACTCCTCGTTGGCTTCCATATGTAATTAGTTTTTGGCCCTATGTTTAGCCATTCAGGGTATATAAAATGTATCGGTATAAATTCTAAATTTTATAAGCTGTTTTAAAGCAAGGGATACATGAAGGATCTGTTTTATTAAATTATTTGCCTGATTTAGATGTTAAATGATAATTTTCTTGCCTTATGTTTTTGTAGAAATTGTCACAGAAGGAAAAAGGAAAAAATCTTCATCTTCTGATTTACATGAGGTATGTATTAGTTTTGCTTCTAACCTATTCATTATCTTTGGAATTTATAACAGTGTAAGTATTTTGCTATTTGTTTCTTTAATAAAATTTAAAATACTGTAAAACTGTAAATCAATGTTTCAGAAAAATAGTATATTTTATTTAATTGAAGGTGAACTAGAAAATCCTTTCTGGGACCATCCTTATTTAAATATTTGTAACATGGCAAGTATACATATCTTGTTATCTCTCCTTTTAGCCTCTCTGTGCTCTTTCCTGTATAGCAGCTTTAGGGTATCTAGATTGCTTACCACAGCATAGGGTTTTTGAGTTGTGTGTACTGAGACAGAGAGAAAGAGTGGTGGGGCACAGAAAGGAAGGCGTGTGCACGAGTGTAGGTGAGCCAGGCTGAAACTTTATTGCTTTCTGTGGTTAGCCTGGGATCTTACCGTCCTGTCCAAATTCAAGGGGAAGGGATACAATCCTCATACTGGAGAACTCTCAATTGTCACATTGTAAGAATAAAATGTAAGGTGGGGACTATTGGTGTGTCTGTGTTTGGAAAATAGAGTATGCCACAGAATCCAGTGTAGGTTAAATAACTTACAAAGTATCCATGGCTACAAACAACTTGAAACCTTTGCCTTACTCCCTAAGAAGCTATCTGTTTTCTTTTCTTTTTTTCTTTTCTTTTTTGAGGTTTTTGCCATGGTTTGCATGTGCTCACCCAAGAGAGACTAAGATAGAGGGAAAGTGAGAAATCCTCCCCCCCCACCACCAAGGGGATAGCCTCATGAGAATCCCTTCTCCATTCTCCTCTGCAGATTTTTGGCATGGACATACACACGCCTGGCATGATTTTCAAGCTGCTGGGTCTGGGAGTCAAACCATAGTTGGCCACGTGGGAATCCAGAGTCTTAATCATCATGCCACTAGCTGGCCTCAAAGACACCTGTTTTCTAATCAATATGCAGCAAATGATTGTCTTAGAGATAATCTAGTTTTTTTTTGTAGATGAGCCCTTATTTTATTTTTTAAAAAAATTTTTATCCTTTGGAGAAGGGATACGGAGGTAGAACATTGATGGGATGGGGAAGTGTGGTGTTATCGGTTGAAGATATTTTGATCAACAGGACTGGGGAGAAATGTTCACATATTGAAATGCTCACATTGTAAGCTAAACAATGTGGTTGAATGTATATACAAAAAAAAATAAGTAAAAAATAAATAAAGTAAAAAAAAGTAAAAAAAAAAAAAAAGTAAAAAAAAAAAAAACTTTATTCTGGTGAGACAGAGAGAAAGAGTGGTGGGGCACAGAAAGGAAGGCGTGTGCACGAGTGTAGGTGAGCCAGGCTGAAACTTTATTGCTTTCTGTGGTTAGCCTGGGATCTTACCGTCCTGTCCAAATTCAAGGGGAAGGGATACAATCCTCATACTGGAGAACTCTCAATTGTCACATTGTAAGAATAAAATGTAAGGTGGGGACTATTGGTGTGTCTGTGTTTGGAAAATAGAGTATGCCACAGAATCCAGTGTAGGTTAAATAACTTACAAAGTATCCATGGCTACAAACAACTTGAAACCTTTGCCTTACTCCCTAAGAAGCTATCTGTTTTCTTTTCTTTTTTTCTTTTCTTTTTTGAGGTTTTTGCCATGGTTTGCATGTGCTCACCCAAGAGAGACTAAGATAGAGGGAAAGTGAGAAATCCTCCCCCCCCACCACCAAGGGGATAGCCTCATGAGAATCCCTTCTCCATTCTCCTCTGCAGATTTTTGGCATGGACATACACACGCCTGGCATGATTTTCAAGCTGCTGGGTCTGGGAGTCAAACCATAGTTGGCCACGTGGGAATCCAGAGTCTTAATCATCATGCCACTAGCTGGCCTCAAAGACACCTGTTTTCTAATCAATATGCAGCAAATGATTGTCTTAGAGATAATCTAGTTTTTTTTTGTAGATGAGCCCTTATTTTATTTTTTAAAAAAATTTTTATCCTTTGGAGAAGGGATACGGAGGTAGAACATTGATGGGATGGGGAAGTGTGGTGTTATCGGTTGAAGATATTTTGATCAACAGGACTGGGGAGAAATGTTCACATATTGAAATGCTCACATTGTAAGCTAAACAATGTGGTTGAATGTATATACGAAAAGAAATAAATTTTAAAAAAAAGAAAGGAAATTTGGAAGAAAGAAAGCTCTTTAGCTGAAATTTTCATAGTATCAATGGTTTTCTTATGTTAAAAAAAGTACTAAAAATTGGCCATTATCCAATATCTGGTGCCTCCGTGGCTTGAAAAACACGCCAGTGGTGTGTCCCCAAAATCTTCAAAGGTGGGGAAAAATGGAAAAGGGATTACAGTGTGACCACCCTCCACGGGGGGATGTGTTCTTGTTTTTCTTCTCTTTCTCTCTCTCTAGAGAGCGCATGGGCCCTCTACAAATTAAAAACAAGTTTTTTCTTTATTTATGATAGAAGGCATGTATGTGTGCAAGTGAGAGTGGTGGGGATAGGGAGGGGAGATGAGAATCTTCCACAAGGTCAGGTGATGCCATGATCACTTCAGCCTGTCAAATCTTGGACGCTTGAGCAAGGGCCTAGTGCATTTTAGGCAGCCAATCTGGGGACTGGAATTATAGTCATTATGTGGGATCTGGCTTCTTCTGAACAGTACAGTCATTACCTTTGTTCCATGGAGTTGGCTCCAGATGAGGAATTCTGAAGCGGTGCTTTTAGTAAAGAATAGCAATAAATAAAAAGTTACTTCTCCATGCTCTTTCCAGTTATTGATGCCCTGGAGGTTTAATTTTATCTCTCAAAGATGCCAGAGAGTTGAGTTGAGATGATTTCTTCAATTTTATCTTTCTTACTTAGGCTTTTCTATAGAAATAGTTTTATGAATTTTTACTGGTTGTAGTTGATATAATGCTTATATTTTATATTTTATACGCTGGATTTAAAGCTTAATCATCAGTTATAATTTTATTTTTAGTTTGCTATAGAGCATGATTGCTTGCTAGAGAGAGAGACGAAGAGCAAGTGAGAATGGGAAAGTAAAAAATCACCCCCTAGGGGGCTGGTCATGCTACAATCCCTTCTCCATTCTCCTCTTGGGACTTTGGTCATGCATGCACAGGCGCCTGGCATGAGTTTAAAGCTCCCAGGTCTGGGACTCAAACCATGGTCAACCATGTGAGAGTTCAGTGACATAACCAGTACACCATCGGCTGCGGTCCCCAGAGTAGATTTTTAATAAGTGCTATTGGGTTGTAAGGAAAATCATGACACATTTTTGCATAGAAAAGTACATCATGATCTTTTCACAACCCAATATATGTCTCAAAGGATACTAAGATGAAACTTAATTCATATATATAAACATATATGTAAAATGTGGAGGTGTGTATAAACTTTTTTATTCTAGAAACTTTTGAGCATACTCAAAGTAGAGAGAATACAATGAATTGCCATGTACCCATAACCAGCTTCAAAAGTCTAATATGTTTCATAAATTGTGACATATACATAATGAATATTTTCTATACATTTGTGTGTATATGCATGTATGTATCTTTGGAGGAATAAGAATGGAATAAAGCCTTTGTTTTGTAATCACCTGTCTTAATAAATAAAATGTGATCAACACTCCTAAAGCCCTTGGAAAGCACCCCCTTCCCTTCCACTAGTGATAACGCCTACCTTGAATTTTGTATTGATTTTTGATGACTGAGATGGCTTCATTTACTTTTACGCTAACATCTATACTCCTTTCTTCCTTAGTATTACAGCTCTCCATGTTTTAGCTAGCTACATGCCTTCCCAAGACTGTATTTCCCGAGTTCCTTGACCGTCGTGTGTGACTAGGTCCGACTGCTGTGATGTACCCTCTGTAGGGTCGGTCTGTCTTCTCTCTCCCCTTCCTATTGTTCGCTGTTCTGAATCATTGATTTTTTGTGAGTGGGACAGACATGATGAGAGGGACTCTGAGAGACAGCATCTCTAGTAGGATCCTGTACCCCTAGCCTCACCTAGCCCTGGACCGTGGGCGTGCCTGTGCCCAGCATGCTCAGGGAGGTGTCCAGAGAACTAGGAGCCTTCCCTTGTGGCCTGGCCTCACAGAGCACTGCCACCATCCAGCCTCTCCCCTTTCTGTTTTTCGGAATGCAAATGTGATGGCAGGAACTGAGGCACTATCTCTGAGTGCGTGAGGTGGAGTCGGGTGCTGAGGAGGGAGAGCAAAAGGACGGAAGCCGATCTCGTTCTTTCTAGAGCAGGGTAGGTTACGTCAGGCCCTCCTCTGATCATTTGGTTTCTAATGTGCCCTCCTATTTCACTTCTATCATGCAGCTTTTATAAAGGCTTTATGTATTTCTGACAAAGTGATATATCACATGTTCAAAATACAAAAGGTACAAGGTAGAAAGTTCTCTTCTTTCCTCTGCTGCCAACTATTTTATCCCCAAAGCACACAGCCCTGAAATGAGGAGATCGTGATAGTTCCTAATCAGAAATGTCTGAGGACCCTGCTTTTAGCCATGGTTCTGGGTTTTACCTTAGGTGACAGTCTTCCCCCCACCCTTTGGAGAGAGATTTTTAAAAATTAATTATTTAATTAATTTTATTTGACCAGAGAGGGACAGAGTAAGAGAGAGAGAGAGAGAAAGTGAGAAAGCAAGCCACAAGGTCTGGGATTCAAACCACTGTTTACCATGTGGGAGTCCAGCACCCCTAACGACCTCACTACCTGATGGCCCCTGGAGAGAGATTTTTGCCATAGGCACATGTGCTCTCCAGAGAGAGAGACAGACAGAAAGACAGAAAACAAGAAATTACTCCCTATCCCCCACCCCTGGTGAAGGCCATGCTGCAATCCCTTCTCCTCCATTCTCCTCTTGGGATCTTGGGCACGCACGCACATGCACATGCACCTGGCGTGAAGTTTAAGTCACCGAGTCCGGAACTAGAACCACAGTTGACTACATGGGAGTCCAGCGATGTAACCATTACGCCATCTGCTGG